AAACACGGACAAGCTCGGAAAAACACGGGCAAGCACGGAAAAACACGGGCAAGCACGGCAAAAACTCGAAAGACAAATCCCGAAAACAACGCTGTACAATAAACACAGTACAATGAAGAATACTAAGAAAATATTATGAGGGTACAATCTTAGTTTGCTGTTTGGACCAGATGTATATATATATATATATGTATATATATATATATATATATATATATATATATATATATATATATATATATATATATATATATATATATATATATATATATTTATTTATAACTAGACTATCATCTCCGTCAATCCATCAAACAGGCTACGACAAGTCTTTATTTACTGAAAGATCTAAACCGCAATCCCCCCCTCTAGTCAACACTTGTGTTTACCACAGCCCAGCAGTTTAAAACAGCAAGAAACATGAGCTAAACATAGACGTAAATATGTACAGATTTTAAAAAATCAAACATGTTCACGTACACCACACATAATTTAGTAAAAAAAAATGTGTATTACTTTCTCTACAAATCACCATAAAACTTCATGTACCCCTTTCAATCTTTACTACACAATTAAATTCGTGTACATTAAAATCATGACATAGAATCCGGCTATCGCGAGGATCAAGAAAATCTGATTGATCTAAATGAGTTTTTTTTTTACCGCCGGCTGATACCGCCAAAAGTCGGTCTAGATAGTACAAGCTCGGGGTCGAGTTAAAAGTACATCGCATCTTTGAGGAGGTTCACTGGGGGGGGGGGGGGCATATGTTGGGGAGGGGGGTGTAACTGTGTGTGTGTGTGTTGGGGGAGGTGGGAGGTGGCCAGTCTATTGCGCCTGTCAGTTCTGGCTGTGTGTATCCTGATTTAAATGAGTCGACTAAAAAAAACTCGAACTTTCTATCCAGTGAACTTTCAACTCACGTATTCAAGCGTTATAAATTCTATTGGGTATAGTGATGCCAGCACGGTTCGTCTCAAAATTAGATCAACTCTACTTTACCGGTGATGTATTTATAGTCAGGTGGGGTGGTGGAAAAGATATTTAACATTTAAAAAAAACACGAATGACCGTCATTTAAAAACATTTACTTGATATCTTTAGGTAAGTCGGCTAACATCACACACGCCCATGTCAGATTTTTATGTTTAAAAAATATTAAACTAGTTAATCTAGAGTTTAATCTTTCGATGGTGTTACAAAAACGGAGACAAAGGACACTATTTTTTTTTATTTGTCGGGCACATAACGCAGAATTATTTCCTTCATTTATCTACGTAACGGAAAATTCTCGTGGTTAATTAAACACAAGCTAATTACGTACATACTCATAACGGCGCACATAGCTTTAGAACAAACCCATCCCCATATCGCTTGTTGGAGTTTATTCGGTGAATGTCAAGCGATCCAAAAACCTTGAACCACTTCCCAGATTTTTTTTTATTGGGCGGCCAAATTAAATTTAGAAAATATTTTTTGGGTAGATCTCTATATTTGAAAATGTTTTTAAGAAATGTACGGTTCTGTTTAAAGCTGATAAAAGACCTTCATGCTTCTAAAAGTAAACATTGTTTTCAAATGACAGCAAGTCTGCCGGCCATGTCTTCTGCATCGCGTGATGTACCGCGTGGACAATGCATGCTGTTTATTTCTAGAAAACATTACCTCATGATGTTTATAAATAGCTTTTTCTAGAATACAAGCCAACCGAAATAGCTTTTAGTTGGAATTATTAATACAGAGAAAAAAAAAGAAAACACAGAATTTTTGTAACAGCTAAACAACAAATCAAGTTATGTTTTTTTTTTTAAATTACTCAAAAGTTATAGGCCCGTTCATGTTATGAAAAAAGAAAAAGGGACTTCGTGGACGAATGGTAGAGCACTTGGCTGCTTGCCCGAAGGCCACAGTTTCAGATCTCGCTTCGTGATGGGTACCTCATTTACGTGGAGGAAAGTATAGGCGGCTGGTCATAATATCTCTTCATATGCCGAGGTCAAGAAACATATAAACAATACATCTGCCTAATGGATCGCTAGGTTTAGAGAGGAACTTTACTATAATATTAAAACGTGTTTTCCTTCTATTTTTATCCTTATATTCACATCTCTTCTCTCCCTCCCAACTATCCCCTGCCCCCATATAAGGCTTGACATCAATACCTCAGTGTATATCTAGTCCCCACCTCACCCCTTTTGTCCTATTACCCGCTTTTATTTCATGTAAACATCCTTCGATAGTTAAACCCACATTCTCAGCACTCGAAAGAGGTCCCTTCGGTAAAATAACTGCGGTGTATACAAGTAAATAGCTATTGGTGCACACAAATAAATAAATATTGGTGCACAGAAGTAAATAACTATTGTGTACACAAGTAAATAACTAGTGTGTACTAACAACTTGAGTGTGGAATTTGAAGACACAACAACAACAACAGTGTGGTCGAGCTCCTGACCGAGATATTGCGAGTTGTCTAATGTCTCCATGGGGGGGGGGGGGGGGGGGTATATCAACAGTCTAGTTACACTGGGGCTGTGGTCGGTGTTGTAGCAAGATATAAGGGCAGATGCGTAATTCTAGAACATCTCGGCTTTAGACATGGATCTATGTTCTAGAACATTAGGCTTTAGACATGGATCTATGTTCTAGAACATCTCGGCTTTAGCCATGGATCTATGTTCTAGAACATCTCGGCTTTAGACATGGATCTATGTTCTAGAACATTACACTTTAAACCTGGGGTCATTTTGAAGAGCTTTATAAAACCCGAGGCTTTGGTGTAGAAAAAAAAAGTGAAGTCCCCTTTTGAACCTGGCGGTCCAAGGTGTAGGTGAAGTAGTTCATATGTGCCTATGGCCTCGGTATGTGGAAGTCATACTATGCCCCGCAACTTTTACTTTCCTTAACGAAATCAGTCACCCATCAGGGTTGGGTGGACCCAGGGACATGCTACGACTCTGGCTAGGGACAAGAAGTCGAACGACCACGCCCAGTAGCGTAGCGAGGGGGGGGGGGCATATGTCCCCGGGCGCCGACCTTAGGGGGCGCCAAAATGGGTTTGAAAAAAAAATCGAAATCTTGAGTGGGGGGTGTAAATCGAAAAGTTTGTCCCCGGGCGCCGGGAAGGGTCGCTACGCCTCTGACCACGCCGTCCCTCTACATTGTTGAGCATTAGCCCAAGACCGGGCACTTTATAAGGACTGGCAGTTCAGCCAAATCTCTCAGTGGAACAATTTTCTTTTAGCAAGTACATCACAGTTTAAAAATTTTGTGAAGACGGCAATGTGTTGTAAAGCTAGCACGAGTGTAAATACACCAACTAACACGATACAGTGTCTGTAATGGATGTGTCCGTCGCGTCTAATAACACTGTAAAGGATGCGTCAGTTTGGTATAATAGAACTGTAAAGGATGCGTCAGTTTGGTCTAATAGAACTGTAAAGGATGCGTCAGTTTGGTCTAATAGAACTGTAAAGGATGCGTCAGTGTGGTCAAATAGAAAGTACAGGATGCGTCCGTCACGTCAACTAGAACTGTAAAGGATGCGTCAGTCTGGTTTAATAAAACTTTTAAGGATGCGTCCGTCGAGTCAAATAGAGCTGTAAAGGATGCGTCAGACACGTCAAATAGAACTGTAATGGATGCGTCAGTCTGGTCTAATAAAACTTTAAAGGAGGCGTCAGACACGTCAAATAGAACTGTAAAGAATGCGTCAGTCTGGTCTAATAGAACTGTAAAGGATGCTTCCGTCGAGTCAAATATAACTGTAAAGGATGCGTCAGACACGTCAAATAGAACTGTAAAGGATGCGTCAGTCTGGTCTAATAAAACTTTAAAGGATGCGTCAGACACGTCAAATAGAACTGTAAAGGATGCGTCAGTCTCGTCAAATAGAAAGTAAAGGATGCGTCAGACATGTCAAATAGAACTGTAAAGGATGCTTCCGTCTGGTCTAATAGAACTGTAAAGGATGCGTCAGACACGTCAAATAGAACTGTAATGGATGCGTCAGTCGAGTCAAATAGAGCTGTAAAGGATGTCTTCTGATTATTGAACACGATTTTGACTCCCTTCATTTTTAAAGCTTCTTTCTAGGGTGACATTGGATGGGAGGGGTGGGGGAGGGAACCATATTGTTTCCTTGTTTTGTTTCTAATATGAGTGGTAGGCTGTTTTAAGGTTGTGCTTTTCTGAAATTTTGTGGTGGGGGGTTTAGTGTTTGTTTTATGACTTTCTCTAAGCTCTTACAGGGTGAAGGGGTGGGGGAAAATGTTTTCGTTTCCTTGCTTTTTTTTTTTTTTTTGTTGTTTCCCAGCATATGCAACGTATTTTATGTTTCCTGTCCTAAGGACAGGTGTATGATAATCTTATTTATTTTTTTACATGCATTTCCGTGTTCTATTTCTGTACGGCAGTTTACCTGTTCTTTACATCTGTAATATACATATAAAAATACTAACTTCAAGTACCTTCAGTACCCCTTCTAAAAGATCTCTGTATTAGGTTGTGGCTAAAAATAGAAGCTCTACATAGACTTGTTTCTTCACTATTGGTCTAATCAAGGTGTCTAAACAATCACGTTGTTGTTTTTAATCTTTAAAGAACACAACGAAACAAAACTTGGACAAACGAGTTAAAGATGAAAGAACAAGAAAATAATTTCGACTTGTTTTTATTATTCAATATCACATTGGCAAAATAAAACAAAAGTATTGGTTCATTAAAATATGTTTAAAAAAAATTACAACAGTTTTAAGTTGCTTGTTCTATACACAAAGAAAATTGTCATTACTAAATTGTCATCTGTGATGTGTCATTTGTGAGGTGTCATTTGTTTTACATAAACTTGGGTCGTGTCATATTTGTGACAATATAAAAATATTTCAAAATACAAAAGTCGGTACAGACGACAGCCTTGCATTTCACACAGACAGTACAGAGGCGGTGGAAGGGGGGGCAGGGGGGATGGGGGTGGGGTGACACAGGGGGGAGCATTTTAAAAAAAAAAAAATTCTATAAAGTATCAATAAAAAATATTCTTTTTAAATTTGTGATTACAATTTTTTCAACTGTAAAAGAAATTTAATGTTTTTTTTTCTTTAACTTAAAATTAAAAAAAAAATATCGTATGACAAAAGCTTTATTTCAATAGCAAGTAATACCTAAATACAAAGTACTGCTGGCTTCATACTTGCTTCATTTGAACATATTCTCTCACACATAGACAAACTTTCACACACATCATTTGGTCAAAGTTTTGCATAGAGAATATTACAATATTACATAGAATCTACTACAGAAAACATGTTTAAACATAAATTTCATGACAATAAAACAAAAAACTAAACGAAAATGAAATAAATACTCACGTTAGTGAAGAAACATTGTACGAGTAACGACCACAAATGTTGGTCTTAAATAACAACTATTGCATAGTTTGTTTGTGCCATTTTTCTTTAAACATCAAGTATGAGAATAAATAAACGAACACATATTAAGTACAATTCACATACACCAGTCCAAACTGTGTGTATGTTCATAAGGATTTCAATCGCATTAATGCAGCGCGAATTTGTAATGATGGTATGATATAATGGAGTGGTTTTTTTTCGTTTGTGTGAGTTTCTTGTATACATATTTGATATGGTAAATTAAAAAACAAATGTAATTTGTGTGTGTAATGTTGTGTGTGTGTGTGTGTGGGGGGGGGTGATAATGTTAAATATAATTAAAATTTGAGTTTGAAATTATATTGTAATTAGAACATACATAATACTTTGAGATTCATCAAGCACCCTGCTATTGTTTGAATTTTAGTTTCAAGCTAATTAGCCAGTGCGGTGTTGTTTTATGTTAATTAAATAATTACAAATTTACATTTCCATAAAAACATGCCATTTTTGCCTCTATTCTCATCCATAATTTTTAACTTGTAGTTTGTCTTCAAAAATATATTTAAATTAAATTCTCCCCGGAGATTTGTGCGTGTTATGAGATTCAACGGTACTCTGAACTACTGAGATTTGCCGGCATCAGTGCCGGCTTTTCTTCCGGCTTCAGTTCCGGCTTGTTGTAATTTCAGGATCGAACTGATCTATCACAGAGATAAGCGTGTGATTTTTACTTTCAGTTTAACGGCCGTGAACTTCTGTGTTTAGTCTTAGTTAGACTCGTCATTTTTTTTACGTTGTGTAAGACGGTATTAATGACTTGATTATGTTGTATTGCAAACCTTTCCCGGAAGTGACCCCTGGCCTGAGGGGTCAAGGTTAGATTAGTAACATCATTAATGTGTAACATGCGTGCGGCTATAGCAGGAGGTTGACAGACTTAGTTGTCGACGAAGATCTCTTTGTGAAGCTGGGGAAACTGCTGGGAGAAGCTGGTCGGTGAGGTGGATTTGATGACGTTGAGGAACTTGGTGTGGGCGTCGTTGATCTGGTTCAGTTTGGGCATCAGGCTCATGAGGGAGGTGAAGGTCTTTTCGGGATCTGTGGAGGTCAGGACATGCATTGGGGTTAAGAGAGTGTGCACACGTTTTTTGAGACGCGAACATTACAACCAACATTCTTTAATGAAAGATGTAGCTAAACTACAAAAAAGCTCTATATCCCTATTTCGTGAATGTGCCCATACTACTACCGTGCCCATACTATCACAGTGTCCATACTACCATTGTGTCCATACTATCATTGTGTCCATACTACCATTGTGTCCGCACTACTATTGTGTCCATACTACCACTGTGTCCATACTACCACTGTGTCCATACTACTACTGTGTCCATACTACTACTGTGTCCATACTACCATTGTATCCATACTTAATTACAAAACTATCTAATGTATTGCATGACTTATAAACTTACCATTATGATTCTTTTTGATCAGCTGGTAGAGGGCCTGTTGGTAAAGCTGTTGGATTGTTTTTACTGTCGTATGGCCTGCAAGTCCTGACCGATCTAAAAAAAAAAAAAAAAAAAAACGTTTCCTTAAATTCCAACATCAACACACACAAAAAAAACAAAACAAAAAAAAAACAAACAAGAAAATTATGTCTAGCGCTTACAAGTCTATATGACTTAACTCTAACCAAATACGATTGCCCCAACTCCAGCTAATGACATTTTGTTTAGAACCTAACTTTGACCCAGGAATATTTTTGCCTAACCCAAACTACTAACTCCATTGCCAGGAAGGCTATTTTTCTTACCTGGACAGATAATGACCACAGCTGTGAAAAGCCCAATCTCGTCATCACTCAGGTGAAGTGGGTTAAACTTCTCAGCAAACTCGAACAACTGGTCAAGGAGGGGTCCCATGGGCATGTTGCGGATCACATCTCTGAAAAATTGGAAAAAAAATATCTGTTAATAATTTCTAAAAGCGATTTTAGACTTTGATCTTTAGTCCGTGGTTTTAAATGTTCAATAAGATTAAGCTGTTGCTGTGAGATTTTACCTAAACTAAGGATCGAAGATATTTTTTATTCAAATAAGGGCTTATAAAGTAAATGTCTGGCGCACGCTAAGTTTTAAAATAACATATTTTTTTTCGATATGGTAAACAACTTTTTCGTTTGTTTTTTTTTTAAATTAAAAAAATTGTTTTGAATATTTAAAAACAAATTCTATAGTCCATTATTGACCAAGAAGGACAGATGACTCATAGGAAAATATGCCGCCTCTCATTTACATAAAACATCTCTGGAGGTTACAGGGTCGTGAGTAAATGAACCGGTTTTATTCAAAACTTTATCTGATAGTTATTGATCTTTGGTGGAATGATATGGCCGGGGAGCAGAGTGCTCGACTGCTAACCGTTTAGTCTCGAGTTCGATTCCCAGGTTAGAGGCAGCAGGATTTTCGTGAGTTTGTCAAGGACGGATAATTATCCGATTGACCAACAAGCCCCCCCTCTCCCCCCCCCAGAGGCGTATAGAGACACCCATCAAGAATACTTCATCCTAAGTTCTAGGTCCGGCCACTAAAACAAGACCCCCGCTCCCCCAGACCCCCCCCCCCCCCCCCAGACGTACAAAGACACCCACCTAGAGCATCTCATCTTGAGCTCCGGGTCCAGCATCTCCTGGTTGATCTCGTCGATGAGGACGGCGATGCGGGTCACCATGACCTCGAAGCAGCCCTGCTTGATGAGTTGCATCTGGTCGCCGAGCTCCACCTCGGAGAATCCTGGCAGCTTCTTGCAGAAGTTGATCACCTTCGACACTTCCGGCAACATGGCGGACATGAACTGTTTCCAGACAACGGTTGAGTTTTCGGGTTCAGTCTATGGGGAAAAAAACGAAATAAATAATAATTTTATATTCATGAAAATGAAAAAAAAAAAATTTGAATTTAAAAATTTGAAAAAAATAAAATAAAAAAATAAATAAATAAATAAACAACCTTTATTAACAATGAAAAAGAAATTACGGTCAACCAAAGACGCGAAAAGAAATTATTGGCAAAAAGAAATTGCTGACAGCCAAAATGGCAAAAAGAAAAGACGGGCCTTACCAGTTCGCCTGCTGCCTTCTGTTGTGTGATTCTCTCGTTGGCGGCCAGGGCGTTGGCATGGGTGTTGATGGTGGTGGCGAAGTGGGCGTCAACGATGGCGGACGTGACCTGGTTAATCAAAGTTTTACGTGCGTCATTGGGCGTCATACGTGCCTAGCAACGGAAAAAATAACAAAACAATAGGTAAAGGTCCTACGCAAAGTGGAAACGAAATGAAGGCATGATAAAACAGTATTTTAAGAAAAGAGTAGTTTAGAATTTTGGACGTACCTCTTCCAAAAGTTTGTCAACGTTGATGACGTTAGCGTTGGTGTCGGCACGTGCAGACGTCTCTGACGGCACATCCAGCTGCAAAAAGCCATCAGAAAATACCGTTTTAGAAAGCAGAATTCCTTTTTTTTTAAAATAAATAACGCTGACAAACTAGTTATCTTACTCTTATTGAAGATTTGAATTTTTATAGGCATAGATAAAGTGGGAAGTTATGATTTTCTATTTAGGATTTGGATTCTCATGAAGTATGAAAATTATTCTGGGATTTGTATAAACTTTATAACTGGGATTTTGAATAAAGTATAAAACTGGGATTTGTACAAAGAATAAAACTGTGATTTGAATAATTATAAAGCTGGGATTTGTATGAAGTATAAAAGTAGCATAATATGTTTAAAATAAAAAAACCTACCTCTCGCCTGGGTGTCAGCTGTGTGTTGATATTGAGTGGGACACCATGGGCGGGGTTGCTGTTGGTGGTGTTGATGTTGATGTTCACGTTGATTGAATGGGTGGGGGTCGAGATGGGGGTGTCGGGGGTTGCCATGGTGTTGGCGTTGTAGCGAGGTTGAGAGCTGAGGTTGTCCAGGGGCTGGCGGATGTTGGCGTTAAGCTCGTGCGTGCCTAGGGGAGAGAATACGGGAGGGTGAGCAGCTAGGAACAAAGGGGTTGTTCAATAGTAAACAGGATATGTTGCGGAACATGTTTCGGAACATGTTGCGGCACATGTTTCGGAACATGTTGCAGAACATGTTTTGAAAAGTATGGAGTTCGTTGCAGAATAAGTTGCAATATATATATATATATATATATATATATATATATATATATATATATATATATATATATATATATATATATATATATATATATATATATATATATAACTGGAGTGTTGATTGACAAGTAAAATATGTAGTAGAACTTATCAAACCGAAATATAATGAGACAAGTTTTAAACTTACCATTGAGGTTGCCGGCAGGGGCGTGGCTAGTGGTCAGCTGACTGCGGAGACCAGAAAGCAGCACCTGAAAGTCAGGACAGTTTAATGTTAGGCCTAAACATTATGAAATGTAAGACAGTTGTGTTAAATGTTAAATCTCGATGTAAGACAAGTCAGAATGTTAAATATAAGTCAGGACTATGTTATGGTTTTGTAGTACATGATCTTTACTTAGCAAATAGCTTAACTATTTTTGTGTATTTAGAAAAATTGTGTACCAGACAAAATATTGCAGTAGAGTGAAAGACACTTAATTCCGTACCAATCTTAGTTTGAGGATAATTAAAAGACCAATAGCAGAAGTCAAGATAAAAACGACCAAGTCTGAGTAAAACTAAAGTCATATGACTCAAGACATAGTTTAAACCAATTGACAGTAAAAAAAAAATAATAGTTTTGGCAATTTTAATGTAAAAACTCTAAGAGACCTAGTTTCTGTTTGCCTACAGAAAGACCCATACTGGCCTGCTGACCTGAAAGACCTAGTTTTCGGTCGACGTAAAGAAAGAGCTAAAAGACCTAGTTTTCAGTTGGCCTAAAGACTTCTGTATAAAATCATTAAGCCAACTGAAACATATAATTCCATAAGACGTAACAGAACAAAAAGACCTAGTTTCAGTCGGCCTAAAGACCTAAGAACTAAACGACCTACTTTCATTGGCTCAAATGTGAAGACTTCATTTCCTTGCAACATTCTTTGAAGTTCGGCCATTGTAGGTTCAGACAGGTGTCAGACAGGTTTGAGACAGGTGAAGGGTCTTTAGATGTAGACAGATATCCTTAGTCTTCAAAGACGGAATTTGATTTTTCCCAAACTAGTTGATGGACACTATAAAGAGGTAGGAATACAAAATTGTATCAATTAAATGCAACAAAAATAATGATAAAAAAATTGATAAATAATGATACAAAATATTGATAAATAATGATAAAAAGTATCTTTAGATAAAAAAACCGACAATAAATGGCTAATTTTTTTTTTTAATTTAAGACTTTTGCGAAATATATATAACAAGTGGGGTAGAGTAGGCCTATATCTGGTTTAGTCGCTATGCTGAAAGATATTTAAAGAATCTTTTCTAATCAAGATTAGCAAATACAGGTTGAACCTCTGCCCTACTTCTCCCCCCCCCCCCCTTCACAGTTTGAGAGAGTTTACACAGCTGACCAAGGATTGGCATCAACTCAGTCTGGATTCGAACACAGGCTATTCCGTCGCAAAGCGCAACCATGTTGTGTTCTAACCGGATGACAGCACGTGTGCACACGTTGATGAAGTGCTCACGAAGGTTGCACGCGTAGGGTGGGGAGATAAACCACCAAAGGATTAACGCTTTACATAAACTTAAAAGTTAATCCATCGTTAATACGCAAAGAAATCTCCGTTTTTGATTGAATACAAATACCAGCTTCAATAATAAAATTAACATTAATAAGCACACAAAAAAACAACAACCCTGACCGACTTTCTTTCATCGTCATGAGTATCTTTTATAGGGTAACCTAATTTACAGTTTCGTATTTTACAGATTAAAAAAATATACGTTTACAATCTACACCTTTGTCTAGATATATTTTCGCATTTACAAGACTCATTGGTGTAAATATTGACAGTAATTTGGTTTCTTTCACATTTAAACCAACGCATTTCAAAACTAGGTTAGGCATCGTTGTTTTTTTGTGTACTCCAAAGGTTTCCGCGATTCGTAGTTTCGCGTTTCCCGTTTTACATTTAGTTTACAACTTACATTAAAACAGCTACATGTTTGCAATTATAGACAATGCTTTATACTTTGCGCTACGGATGAATTTGACTTGTAGCATGTGTATAATGTAACAAAATATGATTAAACAAATTGGTCTAATAGATTATATTTAAAACGGAATGGAACTTGATTATAAAAGAATTACCTAATACAAAAAATCTTCAGTCTTAATTAAATTATCAAAAAGGTTATTAAATATTAATACAACAGTTTTCTAAGTCTAAACTGACTACATGAAAGCATCAAAGATTGCAGTTTAAAAAGCTTACCTCACAGTAATGGAAGCTCCTGTTACTGTTAGGATCTTGTAGAGAATCCACGAGCCGAGCTTGTTTTTATACGTTTTGTCGCGCCGGGCGAGTCTATTTTTGCCGGTCACTGGGGGGCGCAGCATGAGAAAAACAACCTTGAAAATTCCCACGTCGATTCGGGGCGGAGTTTAGTTTTCGGTTAGACAAATAAATAAAGTAAATAATAGTTTTAGAAAAAAAATGGCATTGAGTTATGGCTGGGGAAATCGGTGGGTTTATCGCAAGTTCAGGTTTAATTAAAGCGGGAGGGGTGGGGGTTAAATAAAAAAAACATGGTAGTTAGGCTGTTCAGATTTTTTAAAAAATGAGAAGGGTTGTGTTTTTTTTATATAAAGGATTACACTCAAATATCAACATTAATACACCCCTCCCCCTCCCCGGGATTGTTACCCAACTTTTCCAAAATAGGGAAAATGATTTTTAAGTCGCGAACCCGGCATGTTGCGGTTTTAAAAAAAAGATGCTGACACCCCCGTCGGTAAATTAGTTTGAGCTCGCCCGTGGCTGTCTGTTCTCGATGTCTCTCTTGACCTGAAATAAATTAACTGAGTTCACCCCTAGGCCCCGCCCATCTGGCTAGTAACCGAGTTTTGACTAGCGGATTGACAGCTTGTCGCATGGCTGATTTCAAGATTTAGGAGAATTCACACGATTTATACATAGTTTTTCTACTCTTATCCAGAATTTAGGAGTATTAAAATTTAAAGTTTATACATGTTTTTTTTTTGCCTCTGATTTAGTTCTGATACTTACAAAATATGACTTTCCAGCACTAAACAGCATTTACTAAAACATAGTTTGGTAAAAATCATACATTCTTTTTTTTCACACTCATCTACCGTGAATCCGCTGTTAAGGGGCAGATGAATTAGAGTAGTAGGTTAATGTGGCTAATTAATTAAATTAATTTTTCTCTCACATAATTTTTTCCCCAACATGGATCTGCGAGTCAGCACATTTTCTGGTAACGTCCAACTAATCTCATCCAAAACAAAAGAGCTCTTGTCATTTTTAGACAGAAAAAAAAATAATTCCTCCTCCCCCACCTTCACCCTCCCCCTTGTCCTAAAACTGTCTGACCTCGATTTTCAGAAGATCACTGTGACCAGGTTTGATGACGTCATATAAGTGCTGGCTATTCATGGCTACCTGCAAGTGTGTGTGTGTGTGTGGGGGGGGGGTATGGGTGTGGGTGGGTGTATGGGTGGTGGGGGGTGGGGATGTAAAGAAATTAAAACAAATTAAAACGCTATTCTTTTTTTTTTTTTTTAAGAACTGGATAATTTATTTTTGTTTACATAATGTTATGCCCGTGCATCGATTAATTAACTAGGTTCATTAAGATTAAACACTGGCCTAGATAAAGAGCCGGGGACGCTAGCTAAGGCAGACAAGTTTTATCTGAAAAGATAACCGTCATTGACGGATCAATACAGACTCCAGCCACTCAGCCACGTGACTCGATCTGCGAAAGTCGGTTGGTGGCCCGGATCAGACGATGTGGTCCAGCGGTAGCGCGCATGGCTGCTATTCCGGAAGTCTCGAGTTCGGTTCCCGGGCTGTGTGTATAACGTCTAGGAGTACACCTAGCTTTGATGAGTACCTAGTTCAAGCTAGACATAGTAAAGGTGTATGTGCATAGATTAATTGACAAGAGCACATACACATAATGAACCTCAAGGACGACTTGACTTTTTAGTACCAGTTGCTTTTTCCTTAATACCGATTAAATGCTTTCATTTCACCGAATTTTTTTTTTTTTTCATTTTGAAATTCGAGATATATTGTATAATATTAGATTACTATTTATTTATAAAGTTTATTTAAGTAAAAATTTAAAAAAAAATGTGCTTTAGCGCGTGAAAATATCTAGGTGAAAGGTGAAAGGTTCGCATCAGACACACGGTTTGTGGTGTAACAGACATAACAATCTCTGAGCTGACCAGTTAAGGTGACGCTGACCTAGTAGAATTCCCAGGTCATCTCAAGGTAGGTTATGCTCCCCCCCCACACACACCCTCTCCCCTTTTACATATAAAAACAACCGATCGTAAAACCCACATTTGTCTGCAAGCTAGCCAGATTTTTTTTTCTTAAACTCATTGCCTGATTGTTGCGTTATCTTTTCAGGAAACCAATTAAACGCGGTGAGATTAGGTTTTAAGCCAATGAGAGATAAGCTGGATTGTAATGGCGTTCACCTCATTGTTAAATGTAACATTATCTCAGGTTATATAATTCTGAAAGATAAAACTCGGTGTATTGTAGGTCACACACATTTACAAACATACATCACATTCAAATACACATACTTATATTAAATATATATATATATATATATATATATATATATATATATATATATATATATATATATATATATATATATATATATATATATATATATATATATATATATATATATATATATATAAACTGGAACTCCAAACACATTAATTAGGCTTATAATCTTTTATTTGTGGGGTTAGCTGGTCAATGAGTCAGTGAGTCAATAAGTCAATGAGTCAGTGAGTCAATAAGTCAATGAGTCAGTGAGTCAGTGAGTCAATAAGTCAATGAGTCAGTGAGTCAATAAGTCAATGAGTCTGTAAGTCACTACTTTGCATGTTTCAGAGTCCTAGAACTTAAATATATATTTGAATTTCAATTCCTGGCTAAATCGAGATGATTAAAAAACGATTAGTTCTATCATGAGTATACTTGATGGTGTGCTATGAGTAACATTCATTACTCATCGTTAGTCATATAAGTAGGTGTAACCCAGATAATGAATAACGATCGTTTCTTAACTCCACCAAGTTCTCTGACCGTCAAGTAAACAAACAAGTTGCTGATTAATTAGTTCGATAAAAATCTTAGTTAATTAAATGGATAGTACAACCCATCCCCCCCTCCCCGCCCCCCAAAATAAAATACCTGTGTGTAGCTATGTTTTGTAAATAAAACAGTCAGACTATCCCGAAATTGAACGGATCAGCCATGACCCTAAATAAACAACAAACAACTTTCTAATTTTAGAAATATCGGTCAACTGTGTGACGTCGTAATCGTCTGCACTGTGATAACAAGCGGGCTTTTTGGACACATCAAATTAAAAAAAAAAATTGTTGTATTTTATCTGGCAACACAGTCGCCTGTGTTGTATTTATCTGGCTACAAACACGGCCAAAATTATATGTGTTGCCAGTTAAATATGTGCACAAAAAAAAAAAGATTTTGCTGACCGCATTTTGACACTTCAAGTTTTTTTTTTTGCAAGGCCTCGTTGTTAAAATCTGGTCAAGGATGCTGAGCTCAGTGCTAGCAGGCTGCAGCGAGGGGGGGGGGGGGGGGGGGAAAGCGGACCGCACCGGGTGACACCATTTAAGGGGGTGACACCATTTAAGGGGGTGACACCAAGGCAAAAAATAGCAAAATATATAGAGAAAAATTTGAGGGGGGGGGGTGCAAATCGAAAGTTTTAGGGGGCGGGGGGTGCATATCGAAAATTGTCCCCGGGAAGGGTCGTTACGCCTCTGGGGGGGGGGGGGATGACACCATTAAGTGCAGCACCGGGTGACACCCCACCTCGATACGCCACTGTATATATGTGGTAGAAAATGAAGTTTTTTGCGTTGCTATTATGTTAATAACTATAGAAAGAAACAGATTGCATGCGTTGTATCTGATCAATGTATGAAGTTGTGTGTGGTGGAGACTGGTTCTCAAACTGTGGATGTCCATAATACGGGACATGCGTATCTAGCCCGTTGCTCACTATTTAAAATATAGCATGATGTCCGAATGCTTTGTGATGCCGTTGAAGGCAGGGGTGGACTGGCTTTGTACAAGAGGCACCGGAAAAAGTGGAGAAAAATTTTCGTTGCTCAAAATATTAAAAAATAAAATAAAAGAACTAAGTAAGATTATGCTTGATTTTAAAATATCACTCTTTAGTGTGGTCAATCTGCATTAACAAACTTAAAAATAATTGTAAGTTTTAAGAACAATATTTAAACGATTGGTTTTTCCGAAGTTTTTGAAAATACATGCATATTTTATAACAAAGCCAAGCTACTAAGAATAGTAAAACAAACACAATTTCGGTCATGGCAATATATTCGGTGGATGAATCACATGAATCTTGACTCTCCGAGCTAGGCACGTGAAGGTAGGATGAGGTTACTATAGCCCAGCCGTCTTCACTGTCTCGATATCAAGTCATCCACACATACGAGCGTCCTCATTAAACATCTAAGACATAATTGGCAGATCTGCTCACAGGTGTTGAAAAGTAGACCTAAATATAGTCGGCGTTATCCCCAACTAATGTCGAGTACGTATTATGACTGATTAGGCTCAGAGATGATTGGACGAATTGCTAAAAAAAATTGAAAGTTGAGTAGAACATGTTTAATAATTTTTAAAAGTGTTTGGATAATGTAAGGTCATTATCTTTATATTTTATTTTTAAATTTCAACAGTAAAAATTAGACTTTTTTCTTTAAATGGGTTTTCATTTACCAAGCACAATCGAATGAATTATTTAGGGTATACTTTTAGCAAAATGTTATAAAGCATTTAGGATATACCTTAAGCAAACTTAATAAATCATTTTAGGATCAATTATAATAAAAAATGTAATAAATAATTTAGCATCTACAAATGTAATACAAAATCATTTATGATCTACTTTAAGCTAAATAAATGTAGTAATGTAATGCATCATTTAGGATCTGATTTAAGCAAAATATATTACTTATTACCCTTCCTCTAACACACAGAAACCTATCATATTTCTAGTTCTATTTTTGGGTCATGCCCATCGTCGCTCTAGCAACATCTACCAGTCAAGACTAAAACACTCGGGTCATTGACCTTTCCGTACTAAGACGAGTGCGCAGGGCTAGAAGTCTTTGGCTTACCACCATTAAACCACCTGTGGCTTAAGGATTATACATTTGAGGGATTATATATTCTATCATTTGTAATTTGATGAATATAACATTTGTATATTATTTATAGATTACTATTATTGACATTTTAACTGCAGTTCTTTTAACAAGTTGTAACAAAATTGCGGGTGCAAATAAGTATATATCTTTCTAACAGTCTTATCAACGACTTAACTTCTAGCAATAAAAAGTGGAGGACATTATAAATAA